ATATATATATATATTGCTTTTTTATCTGAAACGAGGCATGATGTTGGCATCAAAGTATGAAATGTGGCCGTGTCACAGAGAGTAAAACTCAATCCAAAAAACAAAAGGGAGAAAGTTCGAAAGGCAGATGTTTATAATACGGGTGTAATATCTGCTGATTCAACCAAAAGAGTAGTTGGATTGAAGTTCGATCGACTTCTCCTTTGGTTAGGAATATTGGATAGAATATTGGACATCTACATCTTAATTTTTGCAGTATCACTAATGTTAATGTTTATAATTCTCTCTGTAAATTGTCCATTGGCAAAGCCATTGGTCTTGATTGTATGAGTGCTAAACCTTCTGAAAGCTGCTGCTTCTTGTATATCCGGTCATCTGGCCGCCTTATTTAATTTTTCTCTCTCTACATGACCTGCATAATGTTGCTAATTGGTTAACCAAAAACAAACTTACTTTAAATGTAAGCAAAACTAAAGCAATCTTATTTGGATCAGGAAACTCAAAGGAACAGACGAACTTGAAATTCACATAGGTAACTGTCATTTAGACATGTCATTTAGACAGTTAAGTGTATAAAATATCTTGGTGTCTGGCTTGACCCTCAGTTATCATGGACAATTCATGTTAAGACTAAATCAAAGCATTTCATTGCTATGTAGGATACGTTAGTATCTTGATAAAAATATTCTTAATTTAGTTTACAAAAGTCTTATTCTCCCTCTTTCTGACTATTTTGGTATTGTTTGGGGTAATTGTGGGAAGGGGCTCTCTGACAGACTGCAGAGAGCGCAAAATAGGGCTGCCCGAGCTATTCTTAGGGCTGCCCGAGCTATTCTTAGGGCTAAAATCCGAACAAATATTTTTTCTCTACACCAGCAAATTGGCTGGTCTTTACTGCTGGATAGAAGAGATCAACATGAATTGTCCATGGTACGAAAATGTCTGAGTGGCAGAGTTCCAACATATTTTAATAATATCTTTACCCCTGTGATAGATTTCACAACCATCGGACTAGGGCCAGCTCTCAGGACATTTGTCATTGCCCAAATGTAGTACCGAATCTGGAAGGAGGAGGTTTGCCTACAGGAGAATTAAAACGTTTAATTCTAATAATAATAGTAATAATGATAATAAAATACTGGTGGTAATAATAATAATAATAATAATAATAATAATAATAATAATAATAATAATTTTCATAACTAGCCATTTATGCTGCTGTATTACTCTAAATATATTTATAAATATTCGTATTGGTCTTATATTATTTTAAAAATTTTAAAAATGTTATGATCTGGATGTTAATGTATTTTTTCTGGTTTATGTATGTTGTTTGTTTTCATGAATTTTGAATGTTATTGTTGACCTTTTGTACTGGGCCCCCTGTGGGTGAACAGTAGATATGCTACTGAACAGGTTTTCCCAGTATAAAGAATAAATAAATAAAAAAACATAAAAAATACACCCTGAACCCGCGACAGACTTCTATGATTATACACGCAGGAAACGCATCTCCTATAAAATTATTTGATGAATGAATGTTAGTTACAGTTTAAGTTTGTTTTTTTTTTTTTTAACTTATTTTATGTATTTTATGCCCGGGAGACACAAAAGCAGGAAACCTACTGTCGCCAAAACGACGTAACACAAGAAACGGGAAAAAGTAACTATTATCTTTCAAAATATTATTTATTGACACTAAGATCAATCGAAAAAACTCTTTTGGTTTCGAAGTTTTTATAAAATATTTTCTGTTTCTGAAGCTGTCGTTTCGGTTGCTTCCGGTTGCTTCCGACGAAATCTTGATCATGCACTGACGGTGCGCTGAGCTTTCGTAAATACTGTACTTTATTTTTTTACTTTTTAATTAAAAACAATCGATTGTTACAAAGTTTCATAGAGAGGTATACTATACTTATACTTGTACTTAAATGCAATGTTGGTGGTAAATTAGTTCGGCAAACAATCAGGTGATCAAACGGTGGTTGGGGAATTTTTTTTAGTATTCACAGATTCCTCTTCTTTACTATCTAACGTCTCAAATAGTTTATTTAATAAGCTTTCCTGTAAATTTTGGGTATAAGTATTAAAGTATGTACTGAAAACAAGAAAAATATGACCATTCTAATATTTCGAAATAAACATTTTGGTAAATCTGGTTGATTTTTAAGCATTTATTTTTTATTTTCCGTGCATGAACTTAGCATTAACGATTTAACATAAAATTGAATATTAAATGCCCAATATATTGGTATATTTTGTGTCTTAATGTTTTTGTATGTCAACTCCTTGCGTGCTCCCAGTTTTGGGACACTGTTCTGGGCTCTTTATTTGTTTCCTGTATTGTTTTTATGCAATAAAGTGATTTTATATATATAATATGAATATGCAAACCATTCTAATGCCACCATATAAGAAGTGTTAATGAGCGCAAAAACAACGATGAATATTGAACAAACATAAATAATGAGTTATTGAGCTATAGTATACAGTTTTTTTAGCCCATATAATAATTTTTGTGTGTATTCCAGTATTGATGTTCAATGGCAATAACTAATTTCTGTCATCTCATTTGTAAAAATCTGTGTTTCGTTAGTACAATGTATTTCTGCTTTTTAAAGAAATTAATATACCACTATTGGCAACCATTAATCATGTGCTTAAATATAGAAATAGATAAAAAGAACAATAATTAACAGATAGTATTACCTTACCAAACTCACTTTAACATCCATACTTACACTAAATTTAATGTTTGTTTTGTTTTTTTTTTGCATTTTCAATCAAATCGATTATTTTGTGTTAACCTTTAATAGTTTTAAGCGTTATTCGTAGCCGTGAGGTACACTTATCATCGAAGTTGTCAATTAATTTCATATCTGTAGTTGTCAAGAGGTGTATTGACTGTAACGAGATCACTAATTTCAATAAAATTAATACTGTAATTGTATTAAATGTAGGTCCTGATACAAAAAAATAAATATTCGAGTAAGTTGCTTAATTAGTACGTAAGAGATAATCAACATGAGAAAAAAAATGTTCTCACCAATAACATACATAATCTCTATAATTTCTATATGGTCCATTATTAACTGGTAAATCATTTTTAAAGATTTTTGTAGTAAAATGTCCAAAATGGGAAGGGGTCCCACCTCGAGTGACAGGTTCATTCATGTATATATTCATGTATTCATTCATTCATTCATGTATTCATTCATTCATTCATGTATATATTCATGTATTCATTCATTCATTCATGTA